GTGTCCAAACTTTTGACTGTTACTGTATGTATTTTATTTGTTGTGTTTTTTCCTGTTTGGACCCCAGGAAGAGCAGCTAATTGGGGATCCTAATAAATAAATAAATAAATACTTATGCTATGCATAATGCTGTCCATAATGAACTATAATACATGCCATAGTGCCAATAGCTTCTCAAAAACATGCATAATCATTATTCATCATTACAGATATGAGCTTAATAGATAATGTTACTGAAGTGTTATTTAATTTCTGTTCTCTTTATGAAAGCAATACAGGCCTTTGTTGTGAAACGTGAAATGAGAGTTTTGTTTATTTGGTAGGCTATGCATGAAAAAAAATATATAATTGTCAGGTGTCAGTGAGCAGCGGTAGGACGGAGTCAGGCGCAGGACACAGAACTGAGTAAATAACGAACTTTACTCGGAAAAGCAACAAATCTAATTTCCACGCAGGGAAATACAACAGCTCACAGCAGTATATAACACCAAACAAAGAACAATCACGCACAACACCATGAGGGAACCAGAGGGTTAAATAGGGAAACAAATTAATGTGATGGGAACCAGGTGTGTACAATACAGACAAAACAAATGGAACACAGAAACGTAGATCGGTGGCAGCTATAAAGCCGGTGACGACGACCGCCGATAGCCGCCCGCACAAGGAGGTGCCAACTTTGGCGGAAGTCGTGACAATAATAATAACAAGCCACTATGGAAGTGCACATTATGTTGGTTGGAATAGTAAAGAATAGTTTGAGGCTTTGAGGGAAGAAATCAAGTCATCCATCTCAATTCATAGTTCTGAACCGTGGGTGCACGGGTCAGTGTGAATTGTCCATGCACGCATCTGTTTTTCAATGGTAGGCCTAAGTGGATATTGATAACACGAAAGTCAGACAAGTTTCCATCTGTCTCTGTTTCCATTTTGGGTTAATTGCAGGCAGGGAAAGAAGGGAGGGCAATCAATGAGGTCAGTGAATTTTGATTTATTACCTACCATGAGGGCATTAGTATCACACATACTTTCCCAACGTCAGTTCAATGTCTAGTTTTGATTTACATTTGGTTGAGTTGTCAACTATTGTGAATTCAACGTGAAATCAACATAACATGTCATTTGATTTAGGTAAAAAGTTAGGTGAAAAAAACACAAAATGCCCTTACGTTGATTACTTTTTGCAAATCCAATGAGTTTTCCCACATTTATTTTTTTGGGTTGAAATGATGTGGAAACAACGTTGATTCAACCAGTTTTTTCCCAGTGGGTTGTCATGCTGTGCAGAGACTGCTGTCTTTATCCAACACGGCTTGTTTGGCATGTCTGCTAATGCTAAGCCCTGGTGGGGGTTTTGATGTAAGAGGAATGCAAAGTAAACATGGGCAGCAGGTTTGTAGAGATGAATGTCACTTCAACCGAAGGCTGAGCAACAGAGAAATCCCACAACACCAAATCCCACTGATTTCATAGAGCACACACTGTTTGACCTTGAAGTCATGACTGCATTCCTTTATGGATCTTATGTCCCAAAATGCCCTGATGTTTTTCAACCTTGTGATAAATTAATAATATCCAGATTACCCCATGTGGTAATGTCAATTTATGTATTTTCAAACACTTCAACTCAATGATTACTCACAAATCCCAAACCATCTGGGTCCCTATTCACAAAGCATCTTAGAATAGGAGTGCTGATTTAGGATGAAGTCCCCCCTCTTATTCATTATGATTTAAAAGGCTAACCTGATCCTAGCTCTTCCACTTTGTGAATAAGGCCCTGGTTTAGCTCCATTTGGGTGACTCCCCTTCTGTGACCTTCAAATATCTATCAATATATGAAGAATCATGTGTAGGCCATTAAGTAACATCATTGAATGTTATTTCAAACATGCACATGTATATCCATCTATTTCAGCCCTATCTGTGTAGTTGAAATGGTGCCATTGCTGTAACCACGGCAACTCCATCCAGGTCTAGTCTATCTGTGTTATATGACGGCTTCCACTGTTGTAAACTAGAACCTCCCTATTCACGTGGTTAGACCGACCCTACCTTAGGTTCCAGTCTTTTCTTTTAGATTAGCAAGGTATTTTCGACTAGAATGATTTCTCAGTGAGATGGGAGGGATGATGCTGTGGTGAGCGCAGCTTGCAAGCAGTTTGTCGGAGCTCCTCCTCAATCGTCGGATAGGGTATTAACATCACATTTGCTCAATGAGAGCAAGGGAACACGAGAGACGAAACCGAATTTCGACCTGGTGCGCTACGGTTGCAGTTATATTACCTCTATATAAGGTAAGACATCAATCATGACTGACACGTTTGTCAACTTTACGCGTTTATGGTCCTTTTGCGCAGATGATGATAACTGAATAGCCGACCCACTGGGCACAGACGTCAGTTCAATGTCTAGTTTTTATTTACATTTGGTTGAGTTGTCAACTAATGTGAATTCAAGGTTAAATCAACAACAACACCAAATCACCATGTCTTTCGATTTAGGTTAAAAGTCGGGGGGATAAATACAAATTCCCTTACATTTCCACGTTGATTTAACGTCATCTCATTGATTTTGCGGGTTTAGATGACGTGGAAACAACGTTGATTCAACCAGTTTTTGCCCAGTGGGTAATAATCACGCGGTTTTGGAGTGTTATTGTTTTAAGGTTAAGCAGCAGGGCGATTTTACTGCAGGACAGAGGCGCACGTTGCAACAGCCGTTTGTCTGCCCGTCATATAAATTAAGACATACCATGCGGATATTTCATTGCACGGTGTAGGCTATAGGCTACGCAAGAGAAGGCCAGTAGCCAATTTTTTTAATTTAAACGCCAATAGCCTACTGACTGACAACTTAAATTCCTATTGTAAAAACATTTACATATCCGTGACTCAAGTAGAATATATGTCAGTTAACCACGTTTGCGACACAAAACAATTCGGAGCAACAGAAATGCAACATTCTGCGGAGAATAGATAGCCTAGACTATGCAGAACAAACGCTACAGATCATTTGCTTTGGCTACGGCTGATCTGCTTCAAACGCAGCGATCCAATCATATAGTAACTGAAACTGTTATAAAGGTGTCATTGAAGTTCGTTTTTAGGTCTGGGGCATTTGGTGCATCACATACCGAGTAGGCCTATAATTTTGTGGAATTGGGTTATTTGCATCAATTCTACCTGGATAACATGCCATTAGTAGGGTTCATTTTTATAATAAATATTTTCTAATGAATCCTATCTATCGGAGTAGGCCAAATTGGTGAATTATTTCCACATTCCACTTGTAAACAACTAGCATACATAGTATGGTAACTACAGTACATAGAGTCCTGTTCCTATTAATATGCAGTATCATCTATATTTTGAGGAGGAAATAGGCTACCTGTTTTTCATGTTATTATTATCCTTTATACAACTGGTGGGTCTAATCCTGAATGCTGGTTGGTTAAAACCGCATTCCAGCCGGTGTCTATTCCACAAGTTACCAACGGCTAAATCTATAAACTTAAAATACCTATTTACTCTGTTCCATCTGACTGCACAATCCACTGTCTCATCAGCCCAGCCAGGCAATTTATAAACTTGATCTCCACTATAAAAGCATCTAGACATTATCTCACATATCTTTTAGCCTAACATTTAGTTTTCAACAGCGGAGATTTGTATAAACCTTGCTGTCTGTCTCTCTGACATTTGCAACATAGTTTTAATATTCAAATTCAATCTCCAGCTGTCCCATAGTAATGAATGTGTCGGGAGTCGGGACGAGACAGACAGGCAGGCAGCTTTTCTCAACCAGTCGAAATCATGAATCAGCTGGTATCATTTTTATGGATATATACAAAGAAATATCAATTGAAAAAGGTCAAATGAAACAAAGTGCAGCTAGTTTGCAGTCTTTCCAGCTTCAGTTTGAAGTGATTGTGTTGTATGTGTTGTTGGCTAGCTCCTCTGAATAACAGTGTCCTGACAAGAGAGCACATTTTCTATGCCAGGCGAAATCGCGTGTCATTAGCTCATTGTTATGGATGCATCCAAATAAATGTCACCAGAAAACAGCTTAAACAAATGCAAATGCAGCTACTGTTGTTATTCTGGCTATGCTGTTTGACGTGACTGTAATTTAGCCGTAGTTAGCTAGCTAGCAAGCAAGGGATAAGAATGTTGCCAGCCAGTATGGCAATAGATACAGAACAAAAAGACTGAACGACTGGCAACTGAACCGATAGAATGAACGACGGCTTGGGTAGCAATCCTAGATTTGTGTCGGGACTATATCTTGTGGAAGGATTAAATAGTATGAATAAATTCATCAAAATAACATTTTTTATGAAAAATGTCAACCATTATTCGAATATGTTGGTAACTCATTGTATAAAAGTGATAATGCCCTCGGTTTAACAACACCCGTGCCAATATATCCTCCAAACACCAGCTTCTCGGGCCTTATCACTTAAATATCTGGGTGTAATTTACAATGCATGTGACAAGCAAGTAGGATATAGCTATTCCCTCAATTTTCCTGCCTCTGAACCCATGTATTGCCAGTATACTTGTATCATAGCATAGGCCTTAATGCCACAATGAAACATAAAAACATTGAAAGTAAATATAAAAAAAAAAAAGGAAATTGGATAACCATGGTCAGGACTAGGCAACATTGCAGTGTTAAATCCACTACAGAATTGAGTAGGCATATGACAGCTAATAGTTTGTTGCTGTGTGTAAGTTCTACATGTTGAAGCTTCCTCCTTTTCTGTTTCTCTTCAATTTCTATTGAAATCTTGTTTTTAGAGGCTAATATGAAGACATCGTTTGGCAAGCCAGACCCTGGAAAGCTTCAGGAATACTCCCATGTTGTTTGAAGCCCACGGCAGCACCATGCGTTGTGTCTGGTGAAAACCAGCCCACCCTCTTTCTACCCAAGCATTGAGAGTATAGAAACACACACAGCACAGCACAGTGATGGGTTTGGACCAACCCTGTTTGGATATGGTGGTGCAAAGGCCCTTTCTGGGTGCAACGTGTAAGAGGCACCGTCACCAGAACCTGCTTAGAAAGCTGAGGCCCATACGAATCCTGGGTTTTGTGTTCAGCCTGGTAGCCATAAGCGCTATCTCCTTTTCCTTCAGCGCCTTGACATGGAGCTCAGGGACCCACTCGGAGCTGCTCCTGCCCCAGGAGGCCCTCCTTCAGTCTGGTCCGGCTCCCCACAGGACTCTACTTTCCACTCAGCACCAGAGGGACCCCAATGTCTCAGCCGACATGCCCGTGGCCATGAGGTCTTCGGCAGACGGCAACGAGAGCCAGGGGGACTACCCCACGGACCTGTTCACCCTGGAAGAGAGGCGCCAGGGTGCTGTGGTGCTCCACATGTTTGGGATGCTGTACATGTTCATCTCTTTAGCCATTGTGTGTGATGAGTTCTTTGTGCCCGCTCTGACAGTCATCACAGAGAAGCTGGCCATCTCTGATGACGTGGCGGGGGCCACCTTCATGGCGGCAGGTGGGTCAGCACCCGAGCTCTTCACTTCGGTCATCGGCGTATTCATCTCCCACAGCAATGTGGGCATCGGAACCATTGTGGGCTCAGCTGTCTTCAACATTCTCTTCGTCATTGGAATGTGCGCCATCTTCTCCAGGGAGATCCTCAATCTGACCTGGTGGCCCCTCTTCCGTGACGTCTCCTTCTACATCATGGACCTGATCATGCTCATATGTTTCTTCCTGGATAACTACATCTCCTACTGGGAAAGTATTGCTCTGCTCTCAGCCTATGCCACCTATGTGATCTTCATGAAGTTCAACAGCAATGTCGAGGGCTTTGTGAAAGGCTGCATGTACAAGAATCAAGTGGTGGAGGTGGAGGTTCAGCCCAAGGTGAGTCTATTTCCCTTCATATATTTTTCTTTATCTCTCTTTCCTCTCAGAGCTTCATCAACATTTTCTCTGCCTCCCTATCTTTCAAATGAATGTGACCATTTGAATCTAGCGGTTAGAATCTCAGATCACAAGGGATGTAGTATTGTACAACACACAAACGTAACAAAAACAAGTTGGCTGTGATGTTAATATATAGTATGCTATGTGTGTGAGCATGTGCATGTGTGTAGTGGGTTGGTGACTGGGGTGGGGGGTGGGGGTTGTATCCCATAAAAAGTCAAGTCTATCCGTTGCCTGGTAACATACAGTATATATATAAATTCTAATCGAAGTCATTCAATTTTTGTATTTAATTGTTTTATTTAACCTTTATTTTAACAGGGAAGACAAATTGAGACCTAGGTCTCTTTTACAAATGTGCCCTATATATACACAACATAAATATACACATTATACCCAAAATATATAAAGTACCAGTCAAAAGTTTGGACACACCTACTCATTCAAGGTTTTTTCTTTATTTTTAAAAACTATTTTCTACATTGTAGAATAATAGTGAAGACATCAAAACTATGAAATAACACAAATGGAATCATGTAGTAACCAAAAAAGTGTTAAACAAATCAAAATATATTTTTGATTCTTCAAAGTAGCAGCCGTTTGCCTTGATGACAGCTTTGCACACTCTTGGAATTCTCTCAACCAGCTTCATGAGGAATGCTTTTCCAACAGTCTTGAAGGAGTTCCCACATATGCTGAGCACTTGTTGGCTTCTTTTCCTTCACTCTGCGGTCCAACTCATCCCAAACCATCTCAAGGTCGGGTGATTGTGGAGGCCAGGTCATCTGATGAGCACTCCATCACTCTCCTTCTTGGTCAAATAGCTCTTACACAGCCTGGAGGTGTGTTTTGGGTCATTGTCCTGTTTAAAAACAAATGATAGTCCCACTAAATGCAAACCAGATGGGATGGCGTATCGCTGCAGAATGCTGTGGTAGCCATGCTGGTGAAGTGTGCCTTGAATTCTAAATAAATCACTGACAGTGTCACCAGCAAAGCACCCCCACACCATAACACCTCCTCCTCCATGCTTCATGGTGGGAACCACACATGCGGAGATCATCCGTTCACCTACTCTGCATCTCACAAAGACACGGCGGTTGGAACCAAAAATCTCAAATTTGAACTCATCAGACCAAAGGACAGATTTTCACAGGTCTAATGTCCAATGCTTGTTTTTCTTGGCCCAAGCAAGTCTCTTCTTCTTATTGGTGTCCTTTAGTAGTGGTGTCTTTGCAGCAATTCAACCATGAAGGCCTGAATCACGCAGTCTCCTCTGAACAGTTGATGTTGAGATGTGTCTGTTACTTGAACTCTGTGAAGCATTTATTTGGGCAGTTAACTCTAATGAACTTATCCTCTGCAGCAGAGGTAACTCTGGGTCTTCCTTTCCTGTGGCGGTCCTCATGAGAGCCAGTTTCATCATAGCGCTTGATGGTTTTTTCGACTGCACTTGAAGAAACTTAGAGAATTCTTGAAATTTTCCAGATTGACTGACCTGACATGTCTTAAAGTAATGATGGACTGTTGTTTCTCTTTGCTTATTTGAGCTGTTCTTGCCATAATATGGACTTGGCCTTTTACCATATAGGGCTATCTTCTTTATGCCTCCCCTACATTGTCACAAGACCACTGATTGGCTCAAACGCATTAAGAAGGAAAGAAATTACACAAATTAACTTTTAAGAAGGCACACCTGTTAATTGAAATGCATTCCAGGTGACTACCTCATGAAGCTGGTTGAGAGAATGCCAAGAGTGTGCAAAGCTGTCATCAAGGCAAAGGGTGGCTACTTTGAAGAATCTGAAATATAAAATATATTTTGATTGTTTAACACCTTTTTGGTTACTACATGATTCCATATGTGTTATTTCATAGTTTTGATGTCTTCACTATTATTCTACAATGTAGAAAATAGTAAAAAGAAAGAAAAACCCTTGAATGAGTAGGTGTGTCCAAACTTTTCACTGGTACTGTATATGGTGGACACTTACCACAAATGCCTAATTTGCTATGTTCACCGTATTATACATTGTTCTCCATTACTCTTTTTTTGTACTTGCATTAGCACAGTAAACTTGATCCCAACTCTAGCTCAAAGACGGCAAAAAATAAAATAAAATAAAGTAGATTGTGCTGATTTATTGGCACATTGAACCATGTCTCCGTATTTAATAGACTCTGTAGGTAGTGCTAAAACAATGATGTCATATCTGAATTCCTCCATCTTTATGCAGCTTTTGCCATCAGGAAGTGATTTGAATCTAACATTTAAAATTGAAAACATTTTAAAGAAATAGCTTTTTCTTTTCAGTTTATTGGGAAATAATTGAAAATGGTCATTTGTTCAATTATTTAATTGGAATGTCAGGTTACTTCCTGAATTGACTGACTACAATTCTATTTGGTTTCGATATTTATTCAATTTTGGGCTTGCCCACGCCATGAACTTTGGTCAGCATGTTACCCTGTGGTCTGAAATGAAAAAGTTATATTTCATAATTCCTCTTTAAATTGTGCTCAATTATATGGCTTTACATGCTGTATTGTATCCATTGCATATACAATTTTTAGAGTGGGATTTCAACTAGTTTTAGAGTTATGATAAATTGTATAAGTACAACCAATGATGAAAATGCAGTCAGAGCTCCTTGATCTCCCTCTACAGGTTATTTGCTGGACAAATTCTCAAAACTCAAAATAAAGGGTTTCAAAAGACATCAAGACTCCAACACACCAAACCATCTACTGCACTATAGGTTGTCTTTTAAAGATGGTCTGAACAAGGCCAATATTTAATGAATATTCATTTAATGAATATATTATAACTTAAAATACATCCTAGAAATGTACAGTGGTTTGCCAAAGTATTCACACCCCTTGGCATTTTTTCTATTTTGTTGCCTTACAACCTGGAATTAAAATTAATTTTTTGGGGGTTTGAATTATTTGATTTACACAACATGCCTACCACTTTGAAGATGCAAAATATTTTTTATTGTGAAACAAACAAGAAATAAGACCAAAAAAAAGAAAACTTGAGCGTGCATAACTATTCACCCCCCCACCCACCCCAAAGTCAATCCTTTGTAGACCCACCTTTTGCAGCAATTACAGCTGCAAGTCTCTTGGGGTATGTCTCTATAAGCTTGGCACATCTAGCCACTGGGATTTCTGCCCATTCTTCAAGGCAAAACTGCTCCAGCTCATTCAAGTTAGATAGTTTCCGCTGGTGTACAGCAATCTTTAAGTCAGACCACAGATTCTCAATTGGATTGAGGTCTGGGCTTTGACTAGGCCATTCCAAGATATTTAAATGTTTCCCCTTAAACCACTCAAGTGTTGCTTTAGCAGTATGCTTAGGGTCATTGTCCTGCTGGAAGGTGAACCTCCGTCCCAGTCTCAAATCTCTGGAAGACTGAAACAGGTTTCCCTCAAGAATTTCCCTGTATTTAGTACCATCCATCATTCTGACCAGTTTCCCAGTCCCTGTTGATGAAAAACATCCCCACAGCATGATGCTGCCACCACCATGCTTCACTGTGGGGATGGTGTTCTCGGGGTGATGAGAGGTGTTGGGTTTGCGCCAGACATAGCATTTTCATTGATGGCCAAAAAGCTCAATTTTAGTCTCATCTAACCAGAGTACCTTCTTCAATATGTTTGGGGAGTCTCCCACATGGCTTTTGGCGAACGCCAAACGTGTTTGCTTATTTTTTTCTTTAAGCAATGGCTTTTTTTTGGCCACTCTTCCATAAAGCCCAGCTCTGTGGAATGTACGGCTTAAAGTGGTCCTATGGACAGATACTCCAATCTCCGCTGTGGAGCTTTGCAGCTCCTTCAGGGTTATATAATAATAATTTTAGCAGACGTTTTTATCCAAAGTGACTTACAGTCATGCGTGCATACATTTTTTTGTGTATGGGTGGTCCCGGGGATCGAACCCACTACCTTGGCATTACAAGCACCGTGCTCTACCAGCTGAGCTACAGAGGACCACAGATTCTCAATTGGAATTCTGAAATGTTATCTTTGGTCTCTATGTTGCCTCTCTGAATAATGCCCTCCTTGCCTGGTCCGTGAGTTTTGGTGGGTAGCCCTCTCTTGGCAGGTTTGTGGTGGTGCCATATTTCTTCCATTTTTTTTATAATGGATTTAATGGTGCTCCGTGGGATGTTCAAAGTTTTTGATATTTTTTTATAATCCAGCCCTGATCTGTACTTCTCCACAACTTTGTCCCTGACCTGTTTGGAGAGCTCCTTGGTCTTCATGGTGCCGCTTGCTTGGTGGTGCCCCTTGCTTAGTGGTGTTGCAGACTCTGGGGCTTTTCAGAACAGGTGTATATATACTGAGATCATGTGACAGATCATGTGATTGCACTCAGGTGGACTTTATTTAACTCATTATGTGACTTCTGAAGGTAATTTGTTGCACCAGATCTTATTTAGGGGCTTCATAGCAAAGGGGGTGAATACATATGCACGCACCACTTTTCCGTTATATATTTTTTAGAATTTTTTGAAAAAATTTATTTTTTTCATTTCACTTCACCAATTTGGACTATTTTGTGTATGTCTATTACATTAAATCAAATAAAAATCAATTTAAATTACAGGTTGTAATGCAACAAAATAGGAAAAACGCCAAGTAATTAAATTAAATAGAGAAATGGAAAATGGAGACTGTTTTTTTTTTGTACAAAGTCTGAGGAAAACACGGACATGGACATTTTTTATTTATTTTCACTTAAATTACCCAAAACAGTCTCCATTTTCTTTGTCTTTCTTTTTCTGATTTTTCATTTAATTACTACAGTCTGCACCAACCTTCTTGTCAAATAATTACATATTTAGCTTTTTCTACAACAAAATAAAGCAGTTTTTCATTCCTCTAGGGGCATTACACTACAAAATGTTTGTCAGATGTTTTCAGACTTCAAAAGTGTTTTTCTGTTGAGATGACACTAGCCTGCGTCACCCAAGCTGCCATACAGTCTTCCTCATTTGGGATTAATACAAATGTCAGTGTC